CAAAGCTCTATGTGTATTGTCCCTAGACTTCTTTCTGTTCTAGAAGCTCCTGCAGCCCTGGTATCCTTAATGAGGAAAGGACAATGCTTACAACTTGGCTGCTTATAGCTATTTTTCCTCCAGATTCCCAGAGTAATGATCATTCCCAGCTTTGTTCCCAGAAAAACTTCATATTCCCTGTTCTTCCCACATCCAGGTGAGGTCTTCTTGTGACACAAATGGATTCTTTTCTGCAACTAGATAGGATGTTGTCATGGACTGAATTATGTTCCCCCAAAAATGTGCATAATCAGTTTGGCTAGACCATGATTCCCAGTATTCCCAGTTGTCCTCCATTTTGTGATTGTAATTTTATGTTAAAGAGGATTAGGGTGGGATTATAACACGCTTACTAAGGTCACATTCCTGATCCAATGTAAAGGGAGTTTCCCTGGGGTGTGGCCTGCACCACCTTTTATCTTACAAGAGATAAAAGGAAAGGGAAGCAAGCAGAGAGTTGGGCACCTCATACCACCAAGAAAGCAGTGCTGGGATCAGAGCATATCCTTTGGACCCGAGGTTTCTGGGCTGAGATGCTCGCAGAACAAGGGGAGACTGATGACAAGGACCTTCCTCCAGAGCTGACAGAGAAAGCCTTCCCCTGAAGCCGATGCCCTGAGTTTGGACTTGTAACCAACTAGACTGTGAGAGAATACATTTCCCTTTGTCGAAGCTTTCCACTTGTGGTATTTCTGTTATAGCAGCACTAGATGACTATGACAGATGTGGACATTTTTCAGATTTGTGGAGAGTCCAGCTTGAACCCAGCGGCCACATGGACAGTTAAGGACAGCTGTTCTGCGTGCTCGAGATACGGCAACTGACAGAAGTCCCTGCCCTTGTAAACTTTTTGATACTGCGTTCCCAAGGATGTCAGCATTTGACCCCCCATGCTTTCTTGGAATCTGGTGAGGGATAAATACTCATATTTGTAGAAAATCACAAGTGGACCTCACACTGACCCAGTGAAGCTACCTGACCACTGGGAACACTCAGGTGTGGTTATAAGTGGTACTTCTCAATCTCTGACGTGTACAGAGGTCACCTGGAGCTCTTGTTGCTATAAAGATTCTGGTTCAGTGGGTCTGGGTTGGGGCCCAAGAATTTCCATTTCTAACAAGCTTGAATGCTGCTAGTCCTGGACCACACTGAGTACCTAGGGTTTAGGTGATACCTATATCATCACCCCACCACCTGTCTGTTTGTTGTACTGTGGTGGCTTGTCTGTTGCTATGATGCTGGAAGCTATGGCACCAGTATTTCAAATACCAGTAGGGTCACCCATAATGGACAGGTTTTAGCAGAGCTTCCAGAGTAAGACAGACTAGGAAGAAAAACCTGATAATCTACTTCTGAAGATCAGCCAATGAAAACCTTTTGGATCACAGAACGTTGTCAGACTTACTTGCTTCAGACACTTCATCAGGAGGGATCAATCGCTGGAGGAGGACATCATATTGGGTGAAATAGGGGGCCAGCAAGCGTGAGGGAGACCCTTGGTGAGACGGATTGGCACAATAGCTGCAATGATGGACTTGAACTTGGTGGCAATTGTGAGGATGGCACAGGACTGGGCAATGTTTCATTCTGTTGTACATAAGGCTGCCATGAGTGAGTCAACTCGACGTCAGCTATCTATTGATCTATCGAATTATTATCTATCTTTTATCATCTCACCAGCACCAAATGTAACCTTATTTTTCCTTAACTTGCCATGAAACTATGAATGTTGTTGTCAGTGACGTTAAGTTGGCTCTGACTCAGACACTGTGACTACACAAGGGAAAAACGAATTTTCTGCGAGTATTCTAGTGGTCCACATTTTGGACAGGCTGCATGTTTGAATGTCGGCTCTGGGGTCTGCGATAGTTTCCAGGTGATCAGGAGCAGCCTTGAGCATGAGCCTCAGTCCTGGAAGCCCTGGCTTTCCCATCTGTGAGCAGAGACCTTTCCTGCCTTTGTCTCAGTTAGGCAAACGTTATTAAGGCATTTTTAAGGGATGGATTCAAGTGTCTCTGTTTGACCATTCTGATGTTATTTTTCGTTAAGTTGTAGGTTACCTCTAGGGAAGTTGCTGGGCTTTGAAATGGTAGCATTAACAATGACATACTGGCACTCTGAATGCATGTCCTGTGTCTCTAGGGCAAGTATACAGCCGGCGGCCATTTACTGAATGTTTACAGTGTGCCAGGCAATATGCTAACCGGTGTACAGGGATCCTCTTGCTTCATGTTTACAATTCTGTGAGGTGGATTCAACACAACCAAAACAACAGACACACCCCAAAAAACTGCAGGTTACAGAGACTGTCACTAGCCCAAAGGCATGCATTTTATAAATGGGTACCGCCAAGACTGGGCCTGGCTCTGACCCCTAAGCCCATGCTCTCGAACAGAGTCAGGTCATTTAAGTGACTGACAGAGTGGTAGTAACAAAACAGATGCTAAGACACGACCAAATGCTCAGCTCTTTATTAAATCTATTAGTGAGGCATTCCCCAATATTGGATTAATTTCAACTTTCTCTGTTAACCTCTGCAAACGCTATTTCCATGTCAGAATCTGATAAACAAGGTCAAAGCAAACTGACCTCACCACTCTGTGCAATGGTGTTAGTCATTGGGGTCTGAAGCAGAACCTTGTATCACCGCTGGGCTCATAATTACTGTTCCTTGAATGACACTGGTGTGCTGCTGGGGGTGTGAGTCTCTATGTGTATTGTGTTCAAGAAGGTGGGAAACTGGTAGCCAAAATTAGAAACATATTTCCTGCTGAAGTCATAATACAAAAGTATCTTTTCATTAGGAGTTACTGATGGTACCCCAGGTATTAAGTTTGAACAGGAGGTACCATGGACTGCAACAAAGAAACTGCATGATCCTTTAAATACAAATAAAAGAGAGAATTTAATTTCATTCTGAGTTTATTTAACATTTCATCCAAGATGAACTGAAACAACACGTTGATTCCAACACTGGCCAGACACTGTGCTAATACTGAAATAAACATTGCCAGTGAGTAAGTACTCACAATCATAATTTTTATAGCCTGTTAATAGAAATATCAATGACTTTTACTCTTTACAAGCTTATTGCATTTCATGTGATTGTTCCCCTGAAAGCTTATTTCTAGATCAGCAAAGATTGCCAATCTTGGTTCATTTGTTCTTTTTTTTTTTAAGTTATAAACCATGATCAAACTATACAGTTACTATTCCTATATAAAAGCATTGAGAGTCAGAAGCTTCAACAAACAATTTTTAAAAAGACATATCTCCATTTTTAATATCCTTCTTATAACTATGCTTTGGTCCTATCTTCCTTGTGTGTGTACAGTTTTAGTGAGTTCATCAATCTTTCAATGAAGATGGTTACCATTCTGAAATGGAGCTACAAATTAACTGGTTTAAGGGTTCTGAGATTAGCTGGAGCAAGCAAGGTAGGCAGACGTTCATGTGCTTTGAAAGCTGCCTTTTGCTAAAAGCACCTTTTAAGTACCTCGTGGAGATCTGTCTTGAATTCCAGACTTATACCACTTTTTAAAGAGAAGCAGCTATGGCAACAAAATACATCCAAGGCCAGCACGTCATGGAAACTTTTGCTTCAAATGGTTTAAGGCAGAAATTCTAAAGGAGAAAATTCTGGTGGCATAAAGGAAGGCTTAGAGTCACCCAAAGCTTCAGATCCATTAATTCTTTCAGAGAAAAGAGAAGCACAGACACAAAGCACACCATTTTTTCTTTATGAGGAAATTCAGTCTGGTCACATTGTCTGGAAAATCTGCCAAAACTAAACTGATTTCTACATTTTTTTTCACTTAACACGTCTCTGAATTACAATGATCAACACTCAATAAACAAACACCTTGTATTATCACTTTGAACACTGATATACTTGAAACATAATCTCTCTATTATATTAAATATAGTACATGTGGAATCACTAGAAATACTGTAAACAGTGGTATATGGAGTTGTTACTTTTAAACAGGGTGGAATGTAATATACAACATTCAAGTCAAATTCATTTGGCTACTGATTCATAAACACGTGATCTCTGTATCTTTCTGAAACTCAAAGAAATCTATGAGAATGGTAAGACAGGGAGGTGGCTGAAGTATCTAAAAAATAAGCCAGACCAGTTTCAACCAGATTCAACTTAAGTCATACGGTATTGATGTTGGATATATTTTCAAAATGTGACATTTGCAAATTTCACTAATCTGATTATCTGAAGTGAATAATTGACTATAAAATCAATAACTGCAAAGTATAAGGTCCACATCATCATAAGAATTTTTTAAAGAAATCCACCAACAATATGGATGCAGCTGGTTGCTGGCAGCAGAGAAGTCTCATCACCCTGATCTGTTACTATGACTTTGAAAGGTCTAAGAAGGAGCATTTACTTTACAAATCCAAAAAATCTTTCATCTACTTGGTACCTGCCCACTGCCCAAACTGGAAGCCAACTACTCATAATACTTAAGGGCAATTTTTACAATTTGGCCTCAGAACTTTTGTCTTTTCCTTCTGAGATATCCTTGATTTGAAACAAGAGTGGGATGAACATTCAGTATTTTAAACAAATTTCCTTTTCATTGATTGTTAATATTTACTGAGCATATACTGAACACCTATTCTATGCCTAGCAGTGCTTTTTAAAACCCTGGGTAAGGGTTAGGACATTGTCTTTGAAAAATAAAGGCTATAAAAGCTACAGGAAGGGTATTTCTGTAAATCATATGATTCAACCGGAAGGGCCCAATTGGAAGGGCCCACCAGATGTTGGGCATCTGGCTGCACCAGGTTCTGTGCTTTAAGTAGCAGCATCCCTCTACAAAGCTAACGTAGATCTTGGAAATGTTTTGGTAATTAGGAGAATACAGATCGAACAATGTTTTCTTCACCACCTGGCGAAGGTGTGGTTGGCAAGATTAGCCTCAGAGGTTCCGTTTCCTACTTTACAATCCCTTGTTAAAGTACACGCGTCGTAATTCAGGATGGGTCTCTCGGATCTTGGCTTGCAGGTCAGCCTCCAAACTTGTCACAGACATGGAACTGGAATAAGGGAGAAATGACAAGAGTTACTACATGGTCAAAGATGGGAACTGGAGCCTAGAGGAGCAGGGAGAGGGGGTGGCAGGTGAGGGAATCCCAAGGCTGGATGTAGGGAAACAGAGTCCTGTTTGAAATGTGCTTCAGGTGGCTGGAAACTGAGGATCCTACTCCTTTCAGAAAATGAACTGGTGCTAATAATCAAAGGAAAGCACTTTAAGAACCCAACACCAAGATACCTTTTTTTTACCTCTTATATTATTAAAAAGTTAAAAACCACTCACTATTGTCAGGGCTATGTGGTGAGTGACACTCTCAGACACTGCTGGGGTAGGGAAAGCAATTTGTGGTAATGTCAAATCCCAAGAAAATTAATACAAATGTTTACCACTAAGAAAAAAATGACACAGGCACTCAATGGAATTTATAACACTAAAAATATATTTACACTAAAGCCCCCCTTTTTTATTGTATTACACATATTTACTATAAAACTTCTATAAAATATTAAGATGTATGAGAAAAACATCATTCAGAGTCCTACCACTGAGTGATAACAAAAAAATAACCCCAAACCACAAACTGTTGTCGTTGAGCTGATCTCAACTCATACTGACCCTATGTGTGCCAAAGTAGATCTGCACTCCATAGGGTTTTCAATGCTGATTTTTTGAAAATAGATCGCCAGGCCTTTCTTCCACAGTACCTCCGGTGGACTCAAAACAACATTTCAGTTAGTAGCCAGCGTGTGAACCATTTGCACCACAATCTTTGCATATGCATTTAAAAAGTGTATTTGAAAGTATTATATGAGTATACCTATTGAAGCTTATTTTTTAAATTATAAATACATACTTGCTGTATAGAAAGTATAAAGGAAAATTGTCCAGAATCCCTACTACCCAAAAGTTGTTAACACTTTGCTATGTAATTAGTTTTTCCAAATATTTGGTTTCTAATATAGCTGATATGTGGTAAAATGTGAGCTGGAAAAAGTCAGATTATAAATTTGTATAAAAACTATGTAAAACAAAATAAAAATTACAAATATGGGAAAAAACACTATATTACTAACAGTTGCTATTTTCCATGTAGTGGGACTTTGGGTAATTTTGAAATGGTGACAATGACGCTGCTGCTGCCGATAACGATACTGTTACAATGTATTGACCATTCATTGGGCCAGATACCATGCATTTTAATCCTTACAAAAACCCTGAAAGCCTGGTATTAGCCTAACTTTACTGCTAAGGAAACCTGCGGGTAACTTGAATTTGAAGCCAGGTCTTTTTCAGTCCAAAAGCCATGCTGTGTTTAAGTGCCAAGCTATACTGTTTTTTATTTTTTCTGTTGATATATATGTGTCTATAATAATTATTATTATTTTCTAAAGGCCAAGTCTGATTTTGGAATTACAGTTATTCACACCTTAATGTGAGATGGGAGTTTTCTCTTTTTATCTTCTAGGAGAGTTTGTTTAAAATGGAAATAAACTGTTTGACAGTTGAGTAAAACCCATCTGTAAAACCACCTGATTCTTGTGTTTTTTTTCTGTGGGAGGAAGTTGAAATAATGCTTCCAGTTCCCGAACGGCTACAAGCCTATTCAGACTTTCTAATCTTTCATTGTTGCTAACGTTTTTCTAGGAATTTGTACATTTCACCTGTTTTCAGATCTATTGGTATAATGATTCTGATACTATTCTCAGTATCTTTTTCATCACTGCTGAAACTATAATAATGCTTCCTTTTTCAGTCATAAGATTATTTATTTGTGCCTTCTCTCTCTTTTTGTTTGATTCATCTCACCAGACAATCATCCATTTTGTTGCTATTGTTTCAAAGAATCAACTTTTTTTTTCATTTTTTTTTTTAATTGTCTTCAGGTGAAGGCTTACAGAACAAATAGTTTCTCATGAAACAGTAGTACACATATTGTTTTATGACATTGGTCAACAACCCCACATGTCAACCCTCTCCCTTCTCAACCTTTTTTTTTTTTGGTGAAAATACACATAGCCAAAGATACACCATTTCAAAAATTTCTACATGCACAGTTCAGTGACATCGACTATGCTCTTCCAATTATGCTGCTATTCTCACTTTAGATGAAGGCTTACAGAACAAAATAGTTTCTCATTTAACAGCTACTACACATGTTGCCCTATGACAATGGTTAACCTCACAACACATCAACACTATCCCTACTCAACCTTGGGTTCCCTATCACCAGCTTTCCTGTCCCCTTCTGCCTTCTAGCCCTGGTCCCTGGACTGCTGTGCCTCATTAGTCTCATTTGGTTTTATGGGGCTGTCCACTCCCCGGCTGAACAGTGAAACCTCGGAAATGACTTCACCACTGAGCTAAAAGGGTGTCTGGTGGCCATACTCTCAGGGTTTCTCCAGTCTCCTTTAGGCCAGTAAATCTGGTCTTTTTTTTGTGAGTTAGAATTTTCTTCTACATCCTTCTCCAGCTCTGTCCAGAACCCTCTGTTGTGATCCTGGTCAGAGCAGTCAGTGGTGGTAGCTGGGCACCATCTAGCTGTACTGGACTCAGTCTGGTGGAGGCTTGGTAGCTGTGGTCCATTAGTCCTTCGGACTAATCTTTTCCTTGTATCCTGTTCTCTTCATTCTCCCTTGCTCCCGAAAGGATGAGACCAGTGGAGTATCTTAGATGGCTGCTCACAGGCTTTTAAGACCCCAGATGCTACTCACTAAGGTAGAATGTAGAACATTGTCTTTATAAACTGTGTCATGCCAATTGAGCTAGATGTTCCCCAAGACCATGGTCCCCACAGCCCTCCATCCAGCAATTCAGTCCCTCAGGAGTCTGGATGTGTCCATGGAGCTTCCATGACCTTTCCTTGTACAAGTTGCACTGGTTTCCCCTGTACTGGGTACTGTCTCACTCTTCACCCAAGATACCACTTATCTATTGCCTATTTAGTATTTCCCCCCCACCCCTCCCATCCCTTGTAACCAACAAAGATTGTTACATTTTCTATGTGAACTTTTTCATGGGTTTTTACAATAGAGGTCTCATACGATATTTGTCCTTTTGTGATTGATTTAGTTCACTCAGCATAATGTCCTCCAGTTTCACCCATGTTATGAGATGCTTCACAGATTCATCATCGTTCTTTCTCATTGCATAGTACTCCACTGTGTGTATGTACAATAGTTTGTTTATCCATTCATCTATTGATGGGCATCTAGGTTGTTTCCATCGTTTTGCTATTGTGAACAATGCTGCCATGAACATAGGTGTGCATATGTCTATTCGAGTGATGACTCTTATTTCTCTAGGGTATATTCCTAGGAGTGGGATTGCTGGATAGTAAGGTATGTCTATTTCTAGCTTCAAAGAACCAGCTTTTGACTTTGTTGATCCTTTACTTTTTCTTTATTATCGCTTTTATTTATTTCTGCTCTTGATATCCATGTTTCTGCTTTTTTCTGGAGTTCATTCTTCTGCTTTTTTTTTTTTTTTAAACTAAGGTTAGACATTTAGTGCACTGATTTTCAGCCATTGCTCCTTTCGACTATAAACATTTAAAGTTATAAATTCCTCTCAAAGCAGCACTTTTGTGGCTTCCTAGAAGTTTTGATAAGGAGTGTTTTCATTATCACTCATTCATGCAGTAGAATGGATAATTATGGTGTATTCATACAATGGACTACTACACAGCAGTATAAATGAATGCACTATAGCTACACACATCAATGTCGATGAATAGTGATTACATGATGTTGAATAAAAACAGCTAGTGCCAGAACACTATATATAGTATGACACCCATTACTGAAAAGTTCTACAAGAAACAAAACCAAACAACAACATGTTAGGCATAAACATGTGATAAAAATTTTAAAATGCAATCACATGATAAACATAAAATTCAGAATCATTGTTAAATCTGCAAGGGAGGCATGGAGATAGAATGGGAAGAGCCCATAAGTAGATGTAACTTATAGCTATAATTTTTCTCAGGTTGGGCAGTGGATTCATGGGTGTTCACTATAGCATTAAAATAGATAAAATAAAAATAATTAAAAATTAAAAAAAAAAATAAAACAGGGTCATGTTTGAGCCAATGAGGATAGTGTGCTATATGAATCAAGGAATATGACTAATCCTATTCTGTGCAACTGAGGAGCAAGAAAAATAAAGAAAAAACATACAAACATACAGAGAAACAAAAAGAAAGCAGACTAATAAGCTTCATTTTTAAACAGAGGAAGAAAAGCGGATTCTTGATTTCCCAAATGTGAAACTGTGTATTCCCCAGGGCCATGTGACTTCAAGACATTTGTAGTGACAGAAAACTTTTAATTTCTATACCTAGACTTAAAATTAATCATAAAATAAATGCTAAAAGGACGATACTGCTTTTCTCAAACAAAACCTTTAAGCGAAATCAAGGCAGGGAGCTTCTTTACTGATTTTCAAATCTAAGTCTTTTAATCTCAAAATACTAATAGCTACACTTAGTTAAGAGTTTACTTACTATCAGGTACTCTCCTCAGCATTTTATCAACACTATTTCTGAACCACAGAGTACAAGATGAACTGCTGAGCTCTGATGTTCAATCGTCACACACTAGAGAAACAAACTTTCCCGAGGTTAAGCCCTGGATTCTGGGGGTTGTACAATTAAACAGGGATGATTTCTCCACTCTACAGATGAGCTTAGAGAACAGATTCTGAAGGGCCTGCCCTCTCCACCGACTCACCTGTAGGTATCAAGCTGATGAAGGACTCTCTCCCTGACATTTAAATCCCTTTCCAAGGACCAAACCAGTTGTCATTGAGTTGACTCCAACTCATGGCAACCCCATGTGTATCAGAGTAGTACTGTGCTCCATAGAGTTTTCATGACTGTGACCTTTGGGAAGAAGACTTTCCAGGCCTTTCTTCCAAGATAACCTCTGGAGAGACGCCAATCTCCAACCTTTTGGTTAGCAGCCCAGTGAGATAACCATTTGTGCCACCCATAAACCTACTGCTGTCAAGTCTATTCCAACTCATAGCGACCCTATAGGACAAAGTAGAACTGCCCCATGGGATTTCCAAGGCTGTAATGTTTACGGAAGCAGACAGCCACATCTTTCTCCTGCAGAGCAGCCAGTGGATTCAAACCACTGATCTTCCAGTGAGTAGCTGAGCGCTTAACCACTGTGCCACCAGGGCTCCTCATACCACCCAGGGACTCCTTATTCAAGAACAACAACCCACTGCTGTTGAATTGCTTCTGACACATAGTGACCCTATAGGACAGAGCAGAACTGCCCCACAGGGTTTCCTAGCCTGTAAATCTTTATTACAGAAGAGACTGCCACATCTTTCTCCCAGAGCAGCTGGTGCGTTCGAACCATCAATCTTTTGGTTAGCAACCAAGCACTTCAACCACTGAGCCACCAGGGCTCCTATTTAAGAACAAACCAAAACCAAACCAAACCCACTGCTGCAGAGTTGACTCCAACTCACAGTGACTCCTTAGGGTTTCCAAGGCTGTAAATCTCTATGGAAGCAGACTGCCACATCTTTCTCCTGCAGAGTCACTGGTGGTTTCGAACTGCCGACCTTTCAGTTAGAGGTCGAGCACTTTAATGACTGCACCACCAGGGCTCCTTTTTATTCAAGAACAGTAGGGGTCAAAGACAGAAACAGTCAAGCAGATAAAAGGTAGAGTTCTTTATCAGGTAGTGAAAACTGATAAAGTTAGTTTAGAACAGAACACTTCATCTGAAACCTATTTTGGAAGCCTAGGGCGTTAAAAGCCATGTGTTTGGGACTGGTTGGCCCATGAAGGAAAAGACATTACAAAGACCGAAGCCTGGTAGCATTAAAAAAATAAAAACAAGAAGATGCTGCTTCTCTGTGCCTTCATGCTAGATTAGGAGGAGGCTGATGACCTAGATTTATATAATGCTGATTTAATGCCTGTCAATCCAATTTTCACAACAGAGGCAGGATTCAAGGGCAGCTTGTGTAAAAGACATGTATGCATTAAGGCTTTTAAGACCAAAAAATGAAGTAAGAAGAAGGGAAGCAAACATACCAACTACCTAAACTAAGTGCATATAGTTGCCATTCCTGGGGGTCAGAATTAAATTCTAATACATCTGCATTACAGATGCATTTGCCGATGGATTGGATGACAGTGAACTACATTTAAATTTTCATAAGAGCGAATTTGCACCAGAGTTAACCTGACTTTTACTAAAGAATAAAGCATTTTTTAATTTAACAGTAAGGAGCAGAAATGAGCTGGTAAGGTGTTTTGAAATTAGACAGACTTGGGATTGATTTCTGCCTCCATTTCTTTTAGAGACCATGGCTTCATTGATCTTTTCCAGTCTCAACTTCCCTACCAGTGAAATGAAGTAATACCTCCTGCCTCTTTGACTAGTTTTTAGGATTAAAAATCATGATCATTCTGAAGAGTAACATCTACGTACCTTTTCTGAGGGAACAGAGCACAGCAGAGAGGTGTAGCAAACACCAAACTTAAAAAAAGAAAGAAAAGATGAGTTAGATAATCTTAGAAATAGCAAACTTTTGATTTTTCCCCCATTTTATTAATGTAACAATCCCCCTTCTTTCTGTACAGCTTCATATTCCCTCACACAGTATGTCTTGTTTCTGTAATTTTATTACCTAAGATTGCCGAAATAATGAAACAAACAAAAAAAAAGAACGAGATAATAGGAGTTAAAAAAGAGCCTCAGAAATAAGAGTACAAATGTTGTAGGTTTTTCTAAAGACAACATGGTATTGTTAGCTGTTGTCCAGTTGGCCCCTGACTTATGGTGATCCCATGCACAATGGAACAAAATGCTGCTCGGTCCTGCGCCATCCCCATGATGGGTTACAGACGGGATCACTGTGATTCATGGGACTTTCACTGCTTGATTTTTGGAAGCAGATCACCAAGCCTTTCTTCTCAGTAAGTCTTTGGAAACTCTACTGAAACCTGTTCAGCATCGTAACAACATGCAAGCCTCTACTAAAAGACAGGTGGTAGCTGTGCATGAGCTGCACTGGCTGGGATTTGAACCAGGTCTCCCTCACGGAAGGCGAGAATTCTACCAATGAACCACCAATGCACTCAAAAAGTTACTTATATCTAATTCCTGGGACCAGGAATTCCAAATCGTTCTGGGCCAGTCTCATTTTCAAAACCTGTGTCCCATATTATCTACCCTTTCCCTCACTTTTCATATGCTGCATATTTATCTTTAAAAAAGCAGTTAATGATATGAAAGTAACTTCTACTCACCAGAAGCCAACCAATCCAACTTGCACAGGCGCACTCATCCAGGGGAACCTCTGTATTAAGACAAACGTTATCCTGAACATGGTTTTTTTTTTTTTTATTTATTTTTTTATTTTTTTAATATTTT